GGTACAGGGAAAGTTCACTTTGAATTTAATTTTTTCCATGTTTTAGCTTACCTCAAGGGCATCCAAGATGTAGGTGTCTTTGTTTCCAATCCACAGTATTTTCAATATTGATATTTTTAGGTCAAACCGTTCTTGTCTGTCAGTCATATAATGGAGGTCTATGGTCACCACCTCAAGAGCATGCACAGAGAAGTCCAAATTAAACACGATTTAATGACTCGTAAATGTAAGCACACATCGATGGCCTAAGACATGAAACGAGCGGTTTGTGTGAGAAAACGAACAGTATTTATATCGTTTTTACGTCTTGTAACCACAGCCACGTCCAAGTGATCTGAGGGCGAGGGTGCTTCGGTCTGCGCAAGATATTTTAAAACAGTTTAATCCCAAATCAATATATTTTATCCCCATAATTACAATTACAATATTTTTTTTTTTTTTAAAAAGTGAAGCGATTTAATGATAACAAACTAATTAAAAGATAACAAACAGGTAAGTCACAATGATCCTTGTGTTACCAATTTTTACCGTTTGTTATCTGGAAATAACATATCACTGGATGGCTCGATTGACCAATCAGAATCAAGTATTCCACAGAGCCGTGTAATAAGTATTAAAGAACACATTGCGTGGTATGGAGGTATGGAATTGAGTTTGTATCAAGTACTTCTGACACTGCAGAAATGTGGTTTCATTACATTTTTAACTTTAGAATCGACTTGAAAGATACCATGCTATTGATATCTCATGCATAAAATGTGTGCCTCAGCTGAGAGAGGTAACTGCATCTTCTCTAGCCTGTGGCCGATGAGGTTACACTTATTCTTTGTCTGGAGGCTGCTCAAGGAGCTATTCTGGAGCTGGAAGTGCCATCTAAAGCTGCAGGTATGCCTGCTAAGTCTGGCCTGGGTCTCAGGTGACTGTGGAGGCCCACCTGAGCTCTTTGTGTAAGCACAGGACACTCATTTATTCTCACAGTCCCACTATTTCCCAAAAGTAGTGACCTTTTCAGGCAGCCAAGAACAGAGAGACAATCCCTGACTAACACTTACACCAGGGTTTTGCCGCCATTCAGAAGTGAGCTGGAATTAAAGTAGCATACATTCTTGGTAGTTCTTCTCCCTCTTGAGCTTCCTCCATCCTCTCCTCTCCTCTCAGGGCACTGCTCTAACAACTCTCTGTGCAAGACCTACGGCACACAAGTGCTAATTCAAGAAGAGCCATAGGCAACAACGTGGAGCATCCAGATGGCTCTGGTTAAAGAGGGGAGAGCAGTGGGGGGCTGTAGAATGCCTAAATCAATAAAAAAGATCAGAATAAAGTAATTTGTTAGTGAATCATACCTCAGTGCTAATGTCGTATGTTGATTTTTGTTCACAGCCCGCAGCAATTCTATTGAGACAATTTAACAGAAAGACGTTTCTTCTCATTTTTGCAGGTTTTTAAGTGCTTCACTCAAATTCACAAGATGCAACAGGAACGCTGCCTCTGAAAAGTGGGATAGAAAAATACACACCATTCATTTACTTTTTTCTTTATTATATACGTATTAGGGCTGTCCGTTTAACGCAAACCCATTTTAACGGCGTTATTTTTTTTTTTATCGCGCGATTAACAGTCTTTTTGTCCTAGCAAACTTTGTAGTTTTTTCACATGCTTTTGCAACAGGGCGCGGCATGCGTCCTGGTCCATTTTGGCGTCTCACGCTCGTCATCCACTCAAAGCTCACAAGCCGAAACGTGTGTTTGCGGCGTGCCTGTTGTTTTGTTTACGGTCTAGATCCGCTTGCCCTTTAGTCGAAGAAGCAACAAAACGTCCTCGCGCGGCGGAAGCCATTGAAATGAATGGGTTCAGAGCGCAGCGCGAGGACGTTTTGTGCCGCAGACACTCGTTTCGAAGTTGCGAGCCGGCCAAATAGTAGCCTAACGTTACGTTTTGAGTGGATGACGAGCGCGAGACGCCGAAATGGATGGCATAAGATTCTGAATGGAAAGTTTACTTTTAAAAAGTTGCCAAATTGTCCCATTGACAAGACCAAGTGATCTGTGTTTTGTCGTTGTGAACTGAGCTATCATCATCGCAGCACGTCCAGTCTAAAACACCACTTGATGATGACCAAGCAAACACACACACACAGATGATGCGAATTCTCCACCCCCTCGTCAGGCTATCAGGGCCTCGTCAGTATTTCTTTCACCCTTTTGTTGATAGACAGTGTTACATTGTGTGAGAGATTATTTAAATATGTCAGTGTGAAATTGAACACTATTCCAATGTTATTTTCATTAATAATAATAAAAAAAAACATTTGCACTGAACAAGCTAATCGACTTTTCCAGGTTGATAAGAGCATTAAAATGAGAAAAAAATAATAATGTAACAACAAAAAGACATTTAAAATACTAGATAAAATGTGCGATTAATCGCGAGTTAACTATGACATTAATGCGATTAATCGCGATTAAATATTTTAATCGTTTGACAGCACTAATACATATACATATAATACATATAATGAACATAATCCTGAAATTTCACTGCATTGGAATCGACTACCGAAATGTTGGTATCACGAGAAGCCCTCAGTATCTCGGCAGAGCGGGCAGCCACCTATGACGTATGTAACTCTATCTACTGTTTACCCAGAGCACTTGCTAACAGCAAGCAAACACATCTGCCAGTCCTCACTGAATTCCCATTGTCATTCTGTTCACCTTGCAGTTGAAATAACCCGTAACCTTTATTGGGAGCACATGCACTCAGTCTTGCTCAAGCCATTAACATTTGCACAATCAGAGAACTGCAAGAGCAAATGCTGTTTGGCTCCTTTGTTTTACATTGAGTAGAGAAACAGTGGGAAATGCTGTTCAAAAAAGTACTATTCTGAAAACCCTGATGTGTTTTGTTCTTTTGATGCATTATGGTAATTAAGAAAGGGCAATTACAGAAGAGAAACCGAGAGGTGACTGAACAGAGAGGTAGAGAAAAGGGATAATATTACATTGCTGCTCATGAAAACATGACCAGGTTTCACCCCAATTTCACCCTAGCTTATTTCTACCTGTTTTTAAGAGCATTTGAATTGGGACATATTCCTAATTACTCCAAATTCTCGCAATGCATCCTCACGTTTCTTGAGCTTATTTAAATAATATAGTATATTTATTGTAGGAAAAAAGTGTTAAATTAAAAAAAAAAAAACATACATTAGTATATTTGTTATTGTAAAACATTACTGTAATAAAATAAGGATGTAAAATACGTGAGGTTTGTGATGATACCCCGGTAACATTTTACTTGAAGGGGTGTGCATACGACTGACATGACACCTTCATAAACATGACATAACATATGTCTTGAATATGATGTAGGGTTTATGACAACTGTCATTAAGTGTCTTTCGCTCAATAATGACATTTTGAATGCAAATATGACATTGTTTATGATGTCTTTATGACATCTTGACATATAACCTGTCAGTGTCTTTGTCATGACAACTTGACCAGTTGACTTGATATAAACTCGCAATTGTGAAGTCACAATTATCTTTTAAAATGTTTTATTCTGTGACGGAAATGAGCTTCCATGCAAACAAGCCTATAGCAGACTGGTGGGAGTGGCCTATGGATTATGACTTTTTCATACCTTTTTGGCAAAATAGATGACTGTAGCCTTTTTTTTTCTTCGATATTTTCATTTACATTTTTATTTTTTACATTTCTACTGTATAGGCAGCCAAGTTTTGTTGAAAGCCCATTTTTCCTTTAGTAAAACAAAACCTGGAAAAGCATCCATCCAAAAGCATGAAGGAGCAGAAATCGTGTGATACAGCAGAATGGACTTTTCCAGTGTCTCAAACTGGCTCATTTCCAAGGCCTCCCATACGATCAGAGCCAGCCGTTTATCATTTGACTTCACAGGTCTTCATTAAAGTCACCACTTCAGCAATGATTAAAGATTGGCACACAGCGTGCAGACACAGAGCTTAATGAAATATTGTCCTCATTAATTTATGCAAAACTGTGGGTCACAGACAACAAAGAAACTTTGTTGTCTTGTTTAGTGCCTCATTTGTTCATCTCGTTTCAGTTTTGCCAAATTTGCCCCATCAGCTCTGATTAATTATACAGAGGCCTGCCATTTGCCCGTGCTTATTTTGAGAATGAAAGAAAATGTGACTATTTTAAAGGATTCGTGTTTGTTTTAATGCTTCAGGGTAAATGATTTGTTGGCTTGCCGAGTTCAGTTGACCGTTCTGAATCTTGGCGCTTGTTGGACATGACACGGGTGCTGTTGAATGCAGTTGTGTTTGTTAATGGGGGCGCTGCAGGGCTGCTGTTGACTTCCCACTGACACCGTGACATTTACTCCGACTGATCTGCGAGCCTTGTAGCCTGTCAGCATGCTTTATCCCGCTCTTCAAAGGCAAATGTTAGATGCCTCCCATTGGTGGAACTGTAGGCGGGGCCATAGGGGCCGCTATAATATGATTGGCCCTTCCAATGTCCCATTCAACATTCCTTGACGAAGAGTTTTGTTTTATTTTAATCATGGTGGTAATGAGATAATTTTAATGAAGACATACTCTTGATACTGTAAGATATTAACAATACTATTAAAGGTACTATACCTTAGATGAAATTCTGACAGTGTCAGAAGATTTGAGGCACAGTCCTGAATTGTGAATTTTTTCAATAGTACAAGCCACCTAGATAAAAACCTACCTAGAATCTCAAATGATGCCTCTCAGTCACCATGTTCTTCGTGGCTGATAACCCATCCAGAATTGCGGTGCACTGGGTGAGCGCTAATGGACGTGTGGTTGTGGTTCAATCTCGAAGAACATAAAACATCTGGCCGTAACTTCTCAAATTCTTCAGAGCATGCCAGAAGGAATCATTTGGCCTCAAGTTTATTTCCCATACTTCCTCAAATGTATTTTAGCATCTGGAACATCTGTCTGGCACTTACTGTGTGGTTTCTAATGATCTCATCTGCAGGTTTTGTCAGAAGAAGAGAAGGACTCCACAGCAGGACAAGAAGATGAGGAATGGGAGAAGGCCTTGTCTGTGGAGAGGTTCGGGGACATCATTACTGAGTCTGCCATCAATGGCGCAGACAAAATGGGCCGCAGCTACAATGAGAAAGACTTTGAGTGTAAGTACTGATGTGTAACCATAATTATATGTGCTCTCCATTTTAAATAATCTGCAAGCCATGTTGTTTCAGGTTTAGAAATCTGACTAGGATGATCCGATCACAAGTGTAGTGGTCAGCCGAGAAAGATTTTGATTTAACAGACTACTTTTTTTTTTAAAGTGTGAAAACTGTACATGTTAAGAAAAACTATAACTATAAAACTATAAGTTAAAACAATTATAAATCTATTTTGTTTGGTTTTTTACATTTTTTTTAGAAATCTATGTAGTTTTTTTTCCATTTTGTCATTTTACATTTTGTGATCAAAGCTGATTTTTGAGCATCATTCATTAAGTCAAGTCAAGTCAAGTCACATTTATTTATATAGCGCTTTTCACAATACAGATTGTATCAAAGCAGCTTCACAGTGATAACATGTAAGTAGCACAACACAGATCAACAACATTGCTAAACACTAAATAAATAACCCCAACTGAGCAAGCTCAAAGCAAGCCAAAAGCAAGGCGACAGTGGCAAGGAACCAAACTCCATCAGATTGGATGGAGAAAAAACCTTGGGAGAACCCAGGCTCAGTCGGGGGCCAGTTCTCCTCTGGCTTACATTCATATTGTTTAAATATAAATATTAAATATAAATATATTTATTACTCTGAAATCCTTTTGAAATCATTCTAGCATGCTGATTTGCAGCTCAAGAAACTTTTCTGCTTATTATTATCAACGTTGAAAAGAGTTGTGCTGCGTTATATTTTTGTGGAAACCAACCATAATGTATATTTTTTTCAGGATTCTTGTGAACAGCAAGTTAACAGCATTTATTTGCAATGCAAATGTCTTTACTGTCACTTTTAAACAAGTATTACTAAAGTACTAAATTATTATAAATTATAAATTATATAAATTACTAAATTACTAAGTATTTTAAAATAAATACTTACCTCAATATTTTGAACTGTTGTGTATAATACTGAAATAAGTCTGCACATCATATTCACAAAATGCTGTAGCTTGTTAATTTATGTACATTTTAAATGTAACATGCAAGATTTAAACCTGTGAAATAAGAGATACCTGAGTGGCAACAGAGAAATTTGAGCAAGAGGAACCAACTAATGGAGATGTTGCAATGGCAGCTTAATTATCTGTGACACACCTCATAATTACTTATTACATGGTTCTCTGGAATACTTGATTCTGATTGACTGTTTGGCATTCTTTTTCGCCAAATGTGTTCGTATAATGACAATAAACTGAATCATTGACCTGTGATAGTTTCTCGTATCACTCCGCAGTCTCTTTCTTTTGCAGTCTGAACATCATCCTTTACTTAATCTCTCTCTCTTTCTCTTTATGCGCAGATCACCGGCACACCTTCCACCACACCCACCACCCCCTGTCCACCCACCTCCCACCGCAGCGTTTCCGCAAGAGGGTTCTCAGCATGGACCGCCGGCGAAAGAAAAAGAGGAAGAAAAAGAAGACGTCCGTGCCCCCGTCAGATGTCACGCCCACTATTCATGAGGTGGATGAGGAGGAGGCGGAGTCTGAGACGGAGGGCCAGTGCCAAGCAGCCACGCCCACTGAGCCATCTGAAGAGCTGCCTCAGGTTACTTCAACTTACGGTTCTATTATTTTTGTAGATTGAAGTATAGTATACATTAATTTTTAGTACTACTGATGTACCTGGATATTCTGCTGGTATACTGTATCAAACAATGCAATGCACTTGACTAAACCTTCCCTTTAAGGCGAGACACACAGCAGGCAAAAACGTTTCACTGGTCAATTTTGAGATTTTGGGCTATTTGTATCCAATAACATGTCGTCTTTCAGACTTGTGCTGAAAAAAAGTCCAAAATACACATTTAGGTCTTTATTTTACTACATTTTGTCTGTTTGCGTGTGTAGATTTCACCTATATTCCTCAAAATCATCCCGCTGCTCCGTGATCGCGATCCACACCCTGTCATCGAACACACCGTTAGAAAGCTCTCTCTCTCTTCTTCAATGCTGATGTCGGATCCAAATATGGTCATTTCCTGTTTATCAGCAACCAATCAGGAAAGTAAAATGGGCCATTTAACTCGAAATGCGCAATCCCATAAAAATCTTTAAAGGCCGTTTTCTCAAAATGAGTTTTATGATGATTTTCCACTCCTGTAGCATGTACATACACCAAACTTTACAGCCGTATTCTTAACCATATTGTGAAGGTTTGTTCTGAGGGATTTGTTGATGTATCATTCTTGGCCTGATTTATTGACATTTTATTCTTAAAAATAGGGCGGAAATCTATTTTTTTAGGGCTATTGGCAGGATTTTCTGATTTACAGGGTAACAAAAGGAGATATTCATAATCCTATCTGAAAATGTCTTTTCATTGAATATATTAACAAAATGTGAACATAATTTTGATCCTTGTTTTTTTCAATGGTCAGATTCGTCACTTCAAAATATATGCAAATTAGCGCATATTTAATTTGATATGGCCTGATTAGCATATTTAAACAGAAAATTACAGCAAACTTGCAATACATTTTTTACTCCTATTTATGTGAGTAATCAACTGGTAAAGTTTCATGATGACATCTGCAAGTTAAATTTTTTATCCTATTCTCGCCTTAATATGAAATATGAAATGGAAATAATGTCTCTTTCTTGACTTTTGAGATTGAACCATCAGAATTTTTTTTCAGAAGACATTTTTTGATGGGGCCAACTGATGATTATTTTGATAGTCGATTAATCGTTTGATTATTTCTTTCAATAATCTAAAATTAATTAATAATTAATTTTTTAATGTATCTATGAAGGCTATATGCAATTAAAAACTATGTGAAAAAAGGTGGTTACAATTAAACACGGCAAAAAAATGCTTTTTTTTACGTAGTAGTTTTGTCTTGTTTCCAGTCCAAATATCTAAAAACTCTTTAATTAAGATTTACTAGATGATTGCAGGGTAATAGGGAGATGCTGACAGATGATGTGATCTTACAGCTCAGTTTGGGAAGTGAGGAGGACTTGGCGGCCGACCTCTCTATCACCAGTTTTCATCTGGAGAGCGAGAGACCCCCGGGCAGCGAGGAGACCCCACCCATCCCTGCCGGAATGGAGGAGAAAACACAAGAACGACCGGATGGAGAAGAGGAGGAAAAGATTTCAAACCGGTATTGAAATCTACACCTTAATGAGTCTTGAAATACAGTCATCATTTACTTACCCTCATGTGTAGCCATCAAATTTATTCAGCGCTATGTCAGAAATAATTGTAAGCAATCAATTGCATGCATTTTATTTAGATCAGGTTCTATTAGAGTAATGAACAATACACAATACATTCAAGACATTAGTGTAAGTTCACTCATTCTTAAATGATTCATTTGAATGGTGTATTCACAGCAGTTACATTTGGATGTGCTTTTAATGGAAAGGGCATCATGCAACTTTTTTTTATACAATGTGATGCTGTGAAAAGAACATGACTGCCTGTGAGTGAGCTGGAAAAGTTGTATTTTATTGCCCTCTGCTGGCTATCCTGCTTCTTGCAGCATATATATGCAAACTTGGTTAAGGGGAATGTACAAATAAAACATCATTAGGCATAATTGCCTGCCTTATTTAATAATGTTTTTTTTTTATTTTATTTGCAGTGCCGTTACTTTGAATAATGAGACTTTTGATTGTATATTTTGTCTGGGCCCCTGAATTTAATTAAATGAACAAAAATGCTCCAAGTGATGCGCAATGATACTTTAGTATCATTTGGACTTGGGTAATTTTTTGATATATATTATTCATTTTTTGACTAATTTAATTTGGGGTATAATTTCCAAACAACACACTGATTGGGATATATGGCCAGCATTAAATTGATGATATAGTGGCATTTTATTTATTGACTTGTTATATGTAAGTTACAGAAGTAAGACTGGAATTTTACTGACGACTCGTTTCGGCTGTTCAGAATCGATTCTTTCTTTTGGGGGACTTTATTTATTTATTGTGCAATTCATTGTAAAAAATAAAACCGTAAAAAAAAAAAAAATCAAAAACGGCAGCTGTGGTTGCCAGAACTTTACCGTCAAAAATACGGTAGCAACATTATTGTGTTTACAGACTTAATTTAAAATTTACAGCAATAAACCGTATTTTATAATAATGGTAATTTACTAACGTATTGTAGAATTGATATCTGTTTTGTACCACACCTGAACACACATGACATAAAAAAAATGCAATAAACATTAATTTAACAACATTAAATGTAACATAAAACTGATTAGAAAAAAAAAAACAACAACAAGAAAACCATGAGGAACCATAGAGTTATTTCAACAAAAATACATCAAATGTGAAGTGTCACACAATGAATTGTGGGAATGTCAATTTACGGTTTTTCACTGTAAATTATACAATGAGTTGTTCTTTTTCACTTTCAAAAACTGTAAATTTAATGGTATTTTACAGTAAAAATACATTAAATGCACCATGAGATCTATCACAGTTATTTACCGTATATAGTACGGAAACTTTCTGTTAACCAATTAACAACACGGTCTTTTACCGTTAAAATCACGATTATTTTTTACAGTGAATCTTTAAATCTTTGCAGACCTTTTACATCCACAAACAGCTATTTTACAAACTGCATGAAAGGTAATATCCGAAAAGCATAATAGGGGCACATTTAAATCAAAAGCGAATTTTTCTTGTAAACCTTTTCAGCATACAGTAGGTGTTATGTGGTTAAACCAGCCACCTATAATCATGCACATATTTCATGATTAGCAATGAAATATGTGCTCTATTAGCTATGAAATATGTGCTCTATTAGCAATGCATCCTGCTCAGTTCATTTCATCTTGCTAATAACAATAGGTAAAAAAACAGTGTTCAATTGTAGGTTTCTTTTTAACAGGTTTAGCCCTTCTCCAGAACCTGCCAGTATGACAACACGAGGCTGGTTTCGCAGGAAGCCCGTCCACCGGCTGGCTGGAGCCCAGCGGAACAGCTACGACCTACGAGAACGCATCTGCATAGGCAGCATGACAGCCATGGAGACTGCGGTCTACCAGAAAGTTCCCACAGACGAAGCAGAGGCGCAGATGCTTGCCAGCGCTGACCTGGATGACATGAAAAGTAAGCAAAATCAGTTCTGAAGGAGTCATGAAAATAGCGGGACGCTAATACGCATCGATTTTTCAGACATGGAACAAATCATCAACCTGCTATTAGTTTTGGCATTTCTAGATTCTTATTTCTTAATTTTTTATCAGTACAACAAAATATTAACAATTAAATAATTATTTATACATACATTATCTTTATTTTGCATTTGTCCTTTCACAATTTGGAGGATGCAAATAATTTATCATCATAATATTGGGGTCATCAAAATAGCGTTTTATCTTAATTATTTAGTCTTCAAATAAAAATAAGATATATTTGAGATACTTGAGAAGCAACACTGCATGAGACATTAGGACTTATTTTTTAATGAATATAGCTTTAATATTAGTGCACTGGGAGACCTTTTCAAGTGATAAAATCTAAAACTTAATACAGATAAATTATACACTCCCTGAAAACAGTGCTGCTTTTCAAAAAAACTGAATTGTTTTCAGGATTTTTAGATATTTTACCTGGAAAACAATACACTTATACTGTAGTTGTTTTTCTGTAGTGTAGTAAGCATGAATCTTTCGTAGATGACTAGTTAAATCAAGAAAGCTTTATTTCAGGGTTTTTTTCCTGATAACAATAGGCTGACTATATGACTTTTCCTTATAAATGTCTTCTTCTGTGCTTAATTAAGTAAGGACATCATTTATATGCTCTTATTTAAGGTTTAATCTATAACCTTTTTCCTGGATTCTGCAAGGGGTGTGTAAATTTATGAGCACGAAATGCAACTGTAGCCTTTTGTCTCGAGAATCACAGTGCACTAACTGATTTGAGTTTTCAGTGTGTGTAGCCATGATGATTAAAACAAGGATTAAAGCAGACAACTTCCATGTTGTCGCGGTCGTTCGATCTTAATTGAAATCAGTGTAGTAACTCAAACAAAATTAGATGGGCGTGTTTGATTTCATGTGTCATTGGAACCACACCAAAGACAGAGTCTCAGGCCGATGGTTTAACTTGATCTTGACAAGCCAAAGCCTGTAGTCCCTCCAAATGCTCTTTAAAATCTCACTCTAGAGAAGGGGAGTGATGACAGGGAGTGTTTGTATAGTGGACTTAGACTTCACATTGGCAAGCTTTCTGGTAAGTTTCGGGGCACTGGGGTATTCGTGTCCATACTCATAAATGTGTTTTGGTGGAAAGCAGAGCAGCAGGATCATTGGCTGGCCATGGTCAGCACTTGGCCTGCCCTCTCCTCCCTTTCCCGCGGCTGTAAACAAGCCTTCGAGATGTTCAGATGTGGTCAGGGTCACTGGATCCACGCCATCCACCAGAGTGCTTCCCGTTGTTTTTACATTAATGATTATCCTTAATAAAGTAAGCTCAACTGATTACAGGGTATGACAGTCCAAGAATACTACTACTCCTTTAAAAACCCTTGCAAGAGTGTAATTGGCACTTTCCACAAATAGAATGTCCCATCGCTTTAAAAAAAAGTATTATAAAGACAAATCCCATGTTTTTTTTTTTTTTTTTTTTTTTTGGTTTGGGCGAAATACTGTTATTTAAAGTCCCCCTGTAGTCAATAATTGTATCCCTTAAAACTCATCTTTAGTCACCAAAATGACATATTTAAAAGTTTTTCCCTGTGAAAAAAAAAAATCTTAATGCCTTAAAATAGCTTGAATGTAACTCTACTACACCCTTGCTTCATTTCGTATATGTGGAGATTCAGAGATTAGTAAACGATCAGAGATTCACTCGGTCAACCAACTAAGTAAACGCTGCACAATGATATCGCTCTATACAACGTTGGACACATAATGAGATGGTCCTCACTGCAGAAAATTAAATCCTTGGGGAGGAGTTGGATCTGGATCCCACCCACCTTACATATACATAAACCTATCCAACTCCACCCCCTGATCCCTAAACACACCCCTAAACCTACCCAGCTCCACCCCCTGATCCATAAATCTACCCCTAAACCTATCCAGCTCCACCCCCTGATCCCTAAACCTACCCAGCTCCACCCCTGATCCCTAAACCAACCCTAAACCTATCCAGCTCCACCCCTGATCCCTAAACCTACCCAGCTCCACCCCCTGATCCCTAAACCCACCCCTAAACCTATCCAGCTCCAGCCCCTGATCCCTAAACCACCCCTAAACCTATCCAGCTCCACCCCCTGATCCCTAAACCCAACCCTAAACCTATCCAGCTCCAGCCCTGATCCCTAAACCTACCCCTAAACCTATCCAGCTCCACCCCCTGATCCCTAAACCCAACCCTAAACCTATCCAGCTCCACCCCTGATCCCTAAACCCAACCCTAAACCTACCCAGCTCCACTCCCTGATCCCTAAACCTATCCAGCTCCACCCCCGGATCCCTAAACCCACCCCTAAACCTATCCAGCTCCACCCCCTGAACCCTAAACCTACCCAGCTCCACCCCCTGATCCCTAAACCCAACCCTAAACCTATCCAGCTCCACCCCCTGATCACTAAACCTACCCAGCTCCACCCCCTGATCCCTAAACCCACCCCTAAACCTATCCAGCTCCAGCCCCATATCCCTAAACCTACCCCCAAACCTATCCAGCTCCAGCCCCTGATCCCTAAACCTACCCCCAAACCTATCCAGCTCCACCCCCTGATCCCTAAACCCAACCCTAAACCTATCCAGCTCCAGCCCCTGATCCCTAAACCTACCCAGCTCCACCCCTGATCCCTAAACCCACCCCTAAACCTATCCAGCTCCACCCCCTAATCTCTAAACCACCCCTAAACCTATCCAGCTCCACCCCCTAATCTCTAAACCCAACCCTAAACCTATCCAGCTCCAGCCCCTGATCCCTAAACCTACCCAGCTCCACCCCCTGATCCCTAAACCCAACCCTAAACCTATCTAGCTCCACCCCCTGATCCCTAAACCCACCCCTAAACCTTTCCAGCTCCACCCCCTGATCCCTAAACCTACCCAGCTCCACCCCTGATCCCTAAACCAATCCAGCTCCACCCCCTGATCCCTAAACCTATCCAGCTCCACACCCTGATCTCTAAACCCAACCCTAAACCTATTCAGCTCCACCCCCTGATCACTAAACCTACCCAGCTCCACCCCCTGATCCCTAAACCCACCCCTAAACCTATCCAGCTCCACCCCCTGATCCCTAAACCCACCCCTAAACCTATCCAGCTCCACCCCCTGATCCCTAAACACACCCCTAAACCTATCCAGCTCCAGCCCCTGATCCCTAAACCCACCCCCAAACCTATCCAGCTCCACCCCCTGATCCCTAAACCCAACCCTAAACCTATCCAGCTCCAGCCCCTGATCCCTAAAACCTACCCAGCTCCACCCCCTGATCCCTAAACCCACCCCTAAACCTATCCAGCTCCACCCCCTAATCTCTAAACCCACCCCTAAACCTATCCAGCTCCACCCCCTAATCTCTAAACCCAACCCTAAACCTATCCAGCTCCAGCCCCTGATCCCTAAACACACCCCTAAACCTATCCAGCTCCAGCCCCTGATCCCTAAACCCACCCCCAAACCTATCCAGCTCCACCCCCTGATCCCTAAACCCAACCCTAAACCTATCCAGCTCCAGCCCCTGATCCCTAAACCTACCCAGCTCCACCCCCTGATCCCTAAACCCACCCCTAAACCTATCCAGCTCCACCCCCTGATCCCTAAACCCACCCCTAAACCTATCCAGCTCCACCCCCTGATCCCTAAACACACCCCTAAACCTATCCAGCTCCAGCCCCTGATCCCTAAACCCACCCCAAACCTATCCAGCTCCACCCCCTGATCCCTAAACCCAACCCTAAACCTATCCAGCTCCAGCCCCTGATCCCTAAACCTACCCAGCTCCACCCCCTGATCCCTAAACCCAACCCTAAACCTATCTAGCTCCACCCCTGATCCCTAAACCCACCCCTAAACCTTTCCAGCTCCACCCCCTGATCCCTAAACCTACCCAGCTCCACCCCTGATCCCTAAACCAATCCAGCTCCACCCCCTGATCCCTAAACCTATCCAGCTCCACACCCTGATCTCTAAACCCACCCTAAACCTACCCAACTCTACCCCCTGATCCCTAAACCAAAAAAAAAAAAAAAACAATTAATATGATTAGCCTTTTGTTTGACTGTTATCAAACAGCTCATAATGTGTTGCTAATGTTGCACAAACCATGTTCCCATTCGCCATTTCAGAGTCAGACAGCTGCCTTCTAACTATCATCAGAAACACTATGAACAACCTAGATTGCCAGTGGAGAAACGCATATATATAATTCATCATAACATCGTAATATATAACACAGTCTCATCCCAAATCGTCATATAACTGACGTTTTGGGACGTATTTTGACCATACGTCAATATCCGCCTTTTTAGGGCCCCCTTAAACGTCGGTAGATGGCGATCCCGGGCCGTCATACAACTGACGCTTTACCTTTAACGTCAGTTAGGTGACGGGTTAGGTTTAGGGTTAAGTTTAGGTATGGGGTAGAGTTAGGATCCCATAACCTCATCTACCGACGTTTAAGGGGCCCTAAAAAGGCGAATATTGACGTATGGTCAAAAGACGTCCCAAAACGTCAGTTATATGACGATTTGGGATGAGACCGGGTTGTAATATACATCATACTCCTGCTGTATTGCTAAATCTATCCAATTTTTCATATCATAACTGAAAAATACATGCTTCTCTCGAGACTCCCCATCTAGTTTAATAACATGTTAACCTGTTGGTTACAGGTAGTTTGTGACGTCAGAATCACCAGATATTTCAATTCAAACTACATTTTTGAGACTGAGTCTTAAGATCACTGCAGTCTTAAGGAGCAAATACTCCTTCTCATGTTGACATGAGAATTTGCAAATGGTTTGTCTTAAAGCATATAAAAAACAAACAAACGCATAGACGTATAAACAACATTAAAAACTTGATTTTCACCACAGCGGGACATAACATGAAGAATAGGTATACAATATCAAATGC